GTGAGATCCTAACCACAACAGTGAGAGTCAAACGCCCACTTGACATGCATATATATATATATATATCTTGTATATAAGGGTTATTTGGGAACAGTTAAATTTATTGTGTACATTTTCGAGATTGGTTCCCCGTCTTGTCTTTAGACAACGGGCGTGTAAATGCAATTGTATTCTTGACCAAGTCTAACAAAGGATGTCATGATTGGTTAAAATCATCTTGGGATTGATTAAGTTAGTTTGTATCTGTTCTTAACGATTTTTTATGTGGAATCAAGTTCGATGTGCAGGTTAATGCATGACTCATCTGTGTCCATTGCCTCCAGGAATTTGCGGCCCCTCCTTACTAGGTAGTTTCCATCAATGCGAGTGTTTTCCCATGCATATTTGTGACCGTGTCGAGTGTGTGCATGGCACCCTAAGATAGGTGGTCGCGTCTTTACACTAGAGACACTAGAGCACTGCATGTAATTTTGCCAAGATCGACTGTTTCTCACTTATTTGAGATCCTACAGGAAACCGCCATACATGTCACAGAACCAGCGAAGCTTAAATGAGGAACGCCTTGGACAAACATAGGCAATTATCTCTTGTAGGTGTTGTACTCATTCTAAATGCTCAAATAAAGTTGTGAACTTGTCCTCTGGAGTCCTAACAGCAGCAGAAGAAAACGTGCTGTGCAAAGAAATAAGGTTCAATCCATCTGACTCCAGTTACTTGGACTTCCGTGCCAGCTTCGAATAAATCATATCATTAACCAATCTTACCGAAGAAGAACAATTCACCATTTTCAGCACCCCTGTACAGGCATTGAAGAACCGAAGGAAGTATTCAACGCCATCTTATGATGAAATGAAAGCACTTAAAACCCTAAAACGAGACAAAGACATCATTATTCTATCTCTCGACAAGGAAGGTCCCAGCACTATTTTGAACTTAACAGAATACACAGAGTAAATGATGTCACTCTTAAAAGATGAACCTCTAGCTGCCGACCGCAGAATATCGCAAAACTCATATATTTAAAAAACACTGAAACACCTCACATGAATGAAATTACTCGTGGGAGATCTTGCCAAGACTTTAAAACAGGATTAACCAACAATTGTCAAGGTATATGGTCTTCCCACTATTCATGAAACTGATAATTCGCTGCAACCGATAGTCTCCCTTATTGGTGCACCTAACAATAAAATCTCGAACTGGCTATTTCGCCAACTGCATTCACTTACGTAGAACCCTGGGAACTTCATTCAGGATTCAAAAGAGTTTCTAGACAAATTAAACGGTGTCTACATTACAGGTGACGAGATTATGGTGTCATTCGATGTAGCCTCGCTCTTCCCTTTCGAATCCGCTAGATTTAGCAAAGAGCTGTACCATTGAACCCCTTCGAACATACAATTCACAGGTGCCTCCAGAGACTTTAATTTCAACTCCTTGATCTCTGTTTTGGGCTAAATGTTTCCTTCTCCAAACAGCGCTATCGGCAATTTAAGGTGCTTCCATGGGTTCACCCATATCAGGTTTCCTGGAATAGGCCGTACTGCAGAAATTTGAAAGCATAGCCCTTCAAACCATTGACCCAAAATTTTGGCTGCGATATGTAGATGACACATTTATCTTCGTCAGGCAAGATCAGTGTAAACTGCACCATACCAAAATAAACTATAGACTTCCATAAATCAGGTTAACTTTTACAGCAGATGTTAATGGACAACTCCCATTCCTGGACGTCTTTGTACGTCGAAAAACCGATAAATTACGTCATACATCAGGTTATCGCAAAGAAGCAAATTCATAGGTCATCGTGCACTTTGAGATTAACTACCTTTGCTCTCACAAACGGGGTACAGTCTACAGCCTTCTGAATCGAGCCAAAATCCACTGCTCTGATTAAGCAAGTTATCAAGCAGAATTTAAGTACCTCTGCAAACGGTTCTCCCAAAATGGGTACTCGCATGACTTTATACGTCAATGCATGAGGCAACAGCAATTCAAGAGAAAATGTATTTCCACTGCTACGGCCGCTGGGGCACCAAAATCAACCACCTGGCGAACACTCCCATGCGTCAAAAATGTATCTGAGCTAGTCGAAAGACAATTGAAAACGTACCCGATAAACGCAGCACACCAGCCGTCAACTACCTTACGCACACAGCTTGTACACCCGAAGGTCAGGGTTGGCTACCTCGAAAGAAAAGGTGTTGTCTGAAAACTCCCATTTTCTAGTTGTGAATCTGTCTGTTGCGGCCAAACTGGGAAATCTGCCTCAATCCGTATACATGAACATCAGTTGGTGGTAAGGAGATGCGAAATTCTATCCCAGGTGGCCATGCACTCACTGCACATTGTGCAAAAATTTGCATGGGATAACGCTCGCATTGTTGGCGCCTGCCCAATAAGGAAGGGCAGCAAATCGCTCCAGGCAATGCACTCAGATGACGTATGCATTAATTGGCATATCGATCTAGATGCCACATACAAATCGTCAAGGACAGATTCAAACTGACTTCACAAAGCCCGAGAAGATGACCTTAACCAATGATGGAATCTTTTTGCCGGACTCAAAGTTAAATGTATTTGCACATCCGATGTTTGAAGACGAGCTGGGCAACCAATCTCTAAAATTTACATAATGAAGTATACTGTGTCCCAAGGAATTCCATCTTCATATTATATTTCTTGGGATGCCTGCATTTTAACTTATATATATGTATGGCAAAGGTATTATACCGTACTCCCGACAAGAATACATGCTAAAGGCCCCGACACATATTTCGCCGATATTCTGCCGATGCGTGACACGACTGCGAAGGACTTCGGCTCTTAAATGGGACTCCTAGCATTCTCTATGCGGTTTCCGCTAAATATATATATATATATTATGACAGTGGGCGCTCACTGATCAGGTTACGGAACATGGTTGTTCCGCTGTGCCTTGGGGCTCATACTATAATCCTCGCAGGCAGTCGCTCAGCGACTAGTAGAATGATGTAAATCAGGTGGTACCGAAAAAGACAAGGGAGACCGGAATGGCCATCTCTGGCTTATTAGCCGTCATCAGCCAGTCATACCCAACCCCAAGTGTGGATCTCTTAAGATTCGAACTCGGGATCTTTGGTCATGGAGTTTGATGCTCTACCAATGAGCAACGGGCCCGTTGTCCTTTGGGTTGTGATCGGGAATATCAATTATGACAGTGGGCGCTCACCGATCAGGTTACGGAACATGCTCGTTCCGTTGTGCCTTGGGGCTCACACTAGAACCCTCGCAGGCAGTCGCACAGCGACTAGTAGTAGACATAGATGAGATGGAGCCGACAAAGACAAGGGAGACCGGAATGGCCATTTCTGAATTATTAGCCGTCATTGACAGTTAGACAATCGTTTTCGATGATGTCCACCGTGTGCCCCATAGTTACAGCAGCAATGGGAGCAGGGACGGTGACTTACGCAGGGGTTTATAGTGCCGGTAGACTTGCGTAGCATCTACCTACACTCACTCCTCCTCCCTCGCCCAAGCCCGGTGTCAAGACAAAGTCAAGAAGACCGGAGACGAGAGAGGCCGCAGGTGGATGGCTCGGACGGATCCTCACTTTGGCGTTCCACCACACCCCCTGGTCCACACAACAAATAACCAGGATTTCAACCAACACAACAGAGATTTGGAGGCTGGCACGCTGAAGCCGCACCTGGGCGTGCAGCTAACGCCTTACTCGGATCCCACACTGTGATTGGAGTGCCATAAAGTCCACATTAAAAAGGAGCCATTGCAGCCTGACTCTCAGACCATCTCCGGTCAAGGATGAGGTCCAAGGTATCCCGTCAGTTGGCAACCTTCCAAGCCACGGCATTTAGCGCCCCGTGATAGCTTCAAGCGCGTCAGATTGTTTATAGTGAGGAGGAAGTGCCCTGAGTCTTCGACCTTACTCTCCCTTCCCACTCCCACACCCCAGCCGCTGTCCGAGCCGGTCAGTAGACTGGAGTGGGGAATGGGCGCGGTGGCTGTCATGGTCGAATGACCATGACTGCGCGCGCCACGACACGACCTGGCCCCCCATGCACACAACACCAGGATTTCACACAAGGGGGTTGAACGGCGTGTCTCTCACTTGCGTGAGAGTGCTGTGGAAGATGCTGTTTCAGCCCGTTCCCGGCCCACCAGTCCACCACTCCGCACAACACACACACAACGCGACAAACTGCGTAAACCGAGAGCGGGCGTCAATCAGCAACCTTCCTATCCACGACACTTGAAGTGTCGGGATAGTCTCGGACTCAAGTCACCCGTGCAGCCGAAGCCGCATGGGGACCGAGTCGGGATGCGGACTTCCCATTTGCGTGGGAGGTGGCAGTTGGGTGCATGAGGTGTGTGAGTGTTGATTTCTGGTAGGGTGATGGTGGTGGAGGAGGTAGGGAGTGTGTGGATGTGTGGTGTAACTGGCGGTTGTCTATCACAGGTCGTCGTGGATGCGCATGTGGCCGAATAGGCCCATGCGATGCCTGAAAGTGCGAGGGCAGTGTGCGCAGTCGAGACGAGCTTGGTGGGTATAGGTGGGTGCTCCAGGCACTGGTTTGCCAGTCTCTGTGCGATGGATTCGCAAGTGACCGACTAGGCCGATGCGTGAGGTGAATGTGCGTGGACAGTGTGGGCATGAGAAGTCGGCGGTGTCACTGTCACCTACAAAGGAGGCGGTGGTGGTGGTGGCGCGGACGGATGGAACGAGGGTGGGGGTGTGCAAGGTGGATGTGTTGGATGCGGTGGGTGTGTCGGGTTTGCGGTCAAGGCCGTTCTCGTGGATGCGCATGTGGCCGAAAAGGCCCATGCGATGCTTGAAGGTGAGAGGGCAGTGTGGGCAGTGGAGGCGAGTGCGGTGGGTGTAGGTTGGTGATTCGCGCACCGGTTCGCCAGTCTCTGTGCGATGGATTCGCAAGTGAGCGACCAGGCCGATGTGTGAGGTGAAGGTACGGTCGCAGTGAGGGCAGGTGTAGTCGTGATCCTCATCCCTGGAGTCGGGGGAGGTGGTGGTAGTGTCGGTTGTTGTGCGCAGGACAATCGCCTGAGCGGCCGCCGTTGGAGCAGGGCGAGGAGGAGGAGGACGAGGCGGAGGAGGAGGAGGAAAAGGAGGAGGAGGACGAGGAGGAGGAGGATGGAAGTGGTGGGTCAGAAGAATTGTCAGAGTTAGTTGGCGGCGGAGAGGAGGAGGAGGAAGAGGCAGGCGGGGAGACGATGGTTGGTGCCGTTCGAGAGGCGCAGTCAATCTGAAGATGTCCAACAAGTCCGATTCGAGCCCGGAATGTCCGTTGACATCGAGGACACGTTGGAAGCGGTTGTGCGGCGGCGTTGCTTACTGGGCGAAGTTGTGATTTGCGGGCTTCACGTTTCACTTTGGCGGCAGCGGTGCGGTTGGCTTCGTATATCGCAGCGCCTGCCTTCACTGTCCTCCTCCATGTTGGACGATCGAGTGCGAGCTCCTCCCAGTTGGTCGGCTTGGTTTGCAGTAGCTTCTGGGAGGACTTCAGGGTATCTTTGTAACGGCGAATCTGGCCTCCTTGACGGCGAGAACCCGTCGCGACGTCTCCGTAGAAGAGTCGTTTGGGTAGTCGCTCGTCGTCCATGCGCAACAGGTGGCCGCTCCAGCGCACCTGCATTTGCCTCAGTATGGCGTAGATGCTGAGGATTCCCGTCCGTTCCAGCACATCAGTGTCGGGGATTCGATCCTGCCACTTTAGCCTCAGGATGCGACGAAGACAACTGAGGTGGCAGTGGTTCAGACGACGTGCCTGCTTTGCGTACACCGTCCAAGTCTCCGCTCCATACAGTAGTGTCGGCAGGATGACGGCCTTGTACATCTTCAGCTTCGTGCTCAGCTGAAGACCG